GCCCCCTCCCTACTCGTTCATGCCCCCCACCCCTCAACACCGCCTGCGCCTGCGCTGCATCTCAACCCCCTCCACCGCCACCCTCCCGCCCAAACGCAAGCGCAACCGCCTCCACAACTATTCCCAGCCCCCTGCCCAAACTACCCGACGCACCTAATGGCCGCCAGCGCCTTCTCTTTGCTCTTCACGGCCTCCCCCACCATCAGGCTCTCCAGGTTGAAGGCCCTCAGCGCCAGCACGCGCGCCCGCAGGTCCCGGGGCAGCTGCATCACCCAGGAGAGGCTCTCTGCGTCGTGCTGGCTCACCTGCGGGTTTGCGTGAGCGAGTGGAGGGGTGAGGGGACTGCGTGCGTATTGTGTGCGTCATGAGGGCGTTCGATAAGATGTGTGCGTACACATGTGCGCGCGCGCGTGTGTGTGTGTGTGTGTGTGTGTGTGTGTGTGTGTGTGTGTGTGTGTGTGTGTGTGTGTGTGTGCACGCGCGCGTGTGCGTGTGACATGTGAGCGCGCGCGCATGTACTCGCGTGGGAGCCGCAGAGGGTAGTGCTGCAGGGGCCACATCAGCGGTGCGGAGGGCGGGCGTGTTGGGCGGCACGGGTATTTTGGCCCGGCAGGGTCGCCTCGGAAACAGCTCCCATTTGGGTTGCGTCCACCTGGCAAATTTGCCCCCAGGAATCTCACCAAAGATGCGCAGTGCGCAAACGCCGCCCGAAGCTCGTCTGCGCTCGGGTCCATCCGACGCCCCTGCAGACCGCGGCCGCCCTCGCCGCTGCTGCTGCTGCCGGCCACGCTGATGCCGCCATGGCAAACGCTGCTGTGGAATGGGCGGTGCCCAATAAAGCTGCCATGCGGGGCTTGGCTGGATTGCCGCTCCGCGTGGATCCCACTGCTGCAGCTGCTGCTTGCGCCACAGAATGCCGTCTCGCTGGTGCTGGCCGCGGTGTCTCTCCAACAAGAGGTCATGGGCCGTGCGCCGCCGCTGCATGGCTGGTATGGCTGCGCTCGTGCTGCTGCTCCTGCCGCTGCGCTGTCACCAGTACTGATGGCGCCGGAGCCCACAAGCCATCCCTCGCGGCGCAAAAGATGCCTAAATGCTGCTCCTGCTGGTCCAAAGGACATCAGATGCGAACGCATCCTGATGATCGGCGAGTGATCAGGGTGACAAGAGTCGATCTACGCACATCACAGGCCAATTCGATGACAATCAACGCACTGCAACTAACAAAAAAAGATATCCGTAGCCCCAGTCGCCACAGTCATCACAACACCCGACAAGCGTTCCAGTCCACGAGCTTCGACATCTGCGGGGCACCAATCAGCTTAACAAAGAAACTCCTCATGTTGACCAGCCGTGTAGGCAGTCCGTGCCCAAGCTTGCTGGTTGACCGCGCTGCATCCCGCTTGGCTCCTCGCCGCCCACGCACATCAATGGCAGCGCTGGCCGCAGACACGGCCTCGGGCGCGCCAGCGCCAGCAGCGGCGCCTGCGACCGCGCCTTTGCCATTAACATACAAACGTCTGGTGGCGGAGCGCTGCGGGGCGTCGTTTCGGGAGGTGGCGCGCGTCGTGGACACACCCATACAGCTCCCCGGCCCGGGGGAGGTCCTCATTCGCATCTCGCATGCTGGCATCAACGGCGGGTGAGCGGTAGCTACGGCAGCCCTGGCAGCCGCGCTCGTTGTGGCACTAGCAGCAGCCACCGCAGCCAGCCGGGCGCTCGCTCATGGCCGGCGGCGCGATCAAGCACTGCGGTGCGTGCACCCTCTCCAGCGTGTAGCTGCCTCCATGTTGCGTGGCCATGCATTGCAGCCTACGAAAGCGAGCCGCTGGACCTTATCAAGGGACCATCCCAGCCTCACCCTCACCGCTGCCGTGCCCCCACCCGCAGCTGCGAGACGTTTCGCGTGCGCGGCGAGTTTGCATTCTCCAGCAACTGCGAGAAGGAGGGCTTCCCGCTAGGGGCCGAGGGCGCCGGCGTGGTGGTCGCGCTGGGAGAGGGCGTCACATCCCTACAGGTGGGGCGGCTTGCCGCAGGATGGGATCTGGGGGAATACTATATGGCGATGCCTCGCCTTGGTCGCAAAAACGCGGCCCGCACGCAGTTGCATCCAGTGGCCAGCGCGACGCCGCAAGCCTGACCGCGGGCTATCACCACCGAGGCACCCTTGCCTCCTGTGATACAGCTATCTTGCAGCTCACTTGACTAGCCTATTAATGCCCTTTGGATCGTGTTTTCGTATCACGCGGTTGTGCAGGTCGGCCAGGCGGTGACATGCAACGGCGCCGCTGCGTTCTCAGAGTTCGCAGTCGCCAAGGCGCTCATGTGCACCCCCGTACCCGCGGCCACGCCCGAGGCGGTCGCGCTGTCCCTGTCGGCCGTCACCGCCTGCTGCGCGCTCGAGGCGACGGCGGGCGTCAAGGCCGGGGACACGGTCGCCGTCACCGCGGCGGCCGGGGGGACGGGCCACTTTGGCGTGCAGCTCGCAAAGCTGGCGGGGGCAAAGGTGGTGGCGATTACTGGGTCGCCTGAGAAGGTGGATCGGCTGAGGCAGCTGGGGGCCGATGTGGTGATTTGTCACAGATCAGAGGTGAGGTTTGAAACTCGTCGGACCCACATGGACCGCGATCATAGAAAGGGGGTCCAAGATTGTGATGCGGCGCCGACCAGCCCTCTCACGCCGCTATTTTGCAGCTAGAATGGATGGGGATTGCATACAATGGCCCTGCCAAAGCACGACACAAATGGCGGCTCGAAGAGGCAGGGGTGGGTACTGCAGGCATCTGCAGCGCTGCCTGCTCGCGCCGCCTGCGCTCCGACCATGCGTGCTCACCGGTGACAACCCACTTCTGCAGGATGTGGGGGCTGCGCTGTCTAGGGAGTGCCCAGGCGGCCTGGACATTGTGTACGAGGGGGTGGGAGGGGCGCTGCGCCACACCCTGCTATCACACCTGGCGCCAAACGGGCGGCTGCTGCAGGTGTGCGCCTTCTGGCGGAGCCTCCACGCGTGCCCGCCCGCCCCTGCGCCGCAGCTGCAGCGGGATGACATCTCCCGCGCCTCTTGAGGCGGGGGGCGTCCCCCAGTCCCGGCTGCGTCGCGGCCTGGAGTTGGGCCCCATGCTTGCAGAATGTTGCTCCAGCTCCACCCACGGTTGCCCCTGCACATGACCCGTTGGTGGTTGCTTTGGCGCCACCGTCTCCACCGGACAATGATTCAACCGTCCATCGAAGCAACCACGCCACCAACCGGCCACCGCACGATGCAGGTCGGCTACATTTCTGAGTACCCCCACGCCCTGGCCCCGGGCACCCCTGTCAGCGCCGGCCCCGACGGTGTCTCCCTGGACGCCCTGTTTTGGGGCGGCAAGGCCACCGAGCTGGAGGGGGGGCGGAGGGTGATAGGCCAGGTCTGGCCCTCGGTGAGGAACTGGCTGCCAACATGAGGCCTGGACAGTCTGGGGCCTGCATGGCTCGCGCGCACGGCTGAGGTGGCCGAATTTGCACTGGGGCAGGTGACTTCTTTGCGATGTTTACATGTGTCATGCTACTTACATGCACCACCGCAGAGGCTAGGCATGGGCGTTCTACTTGCAACACGCCGTGTATGCAAAGCGCCCCTGCTCTTGCCTCACCCACCTGCACGACTTGGGCCCGCCCCCTCGCCCGCCCTGCCGCATGCTCATGCCCATCCCACAGGATCCACGGGCCATTCGGCAGTGCAAGCGGCGAGTGTTTGACCTCCACGAGACTGGCCACCTGGTGGCCTGGGCTGATGTGAGCCACGGCTTCAAGGGGGTTGACCAGGTGGCCGATGCCATTGATTACATGCTGGCCGGGCGGCACGTGGGCAAGGTGGTCATACCCATCACGTGATGACTTGCAGTGATCACAGCACCATGTTTGAAGGGATCGCACATATTTGTGTAATTGCCTCAGTCGTACGGGCCAAGACAAGCTTGGTGAGCTTGCAGCCCATCAGAGGCAAACGCAAGCGCCAAATCAGCCGAAATGTGCAAATGCTTTGCAGCGGGGCCAAACATTGCGCCAGAGTTGCCAATGAAACGGCTTGGATGCGCTTCCAGCGCGACACGGCAAGTGGTCTTGCAGGAGTTGCCGTGGGGCTGCGGAGGTTGTCGCAACTGAAAACGAGGTGGCTGGCTGCTAACGGTGCGTGTGCACACGATGCTGCTCACCACACGCACAACGAGGATCCAGTCAGGTGTTGAGGCATGGTGCAAGCCCAACAGTAAATGCGGTTGGCAAGGCGCTTTCCGCAGCAGGTCCCCGGTCATGGCTGGTCAGGGGCGTACCTTAGTGCACTGTCGCTTGTGCTGCAACATGCACCAGGTCAACACGTGTTGACTACATCGTTCGTTCAGTGCAAGTGCGGGCCAGCTAATGTTGGCACAAGCTTATCCTTGATTCTTTGAACCTCTATACATACAGCCTAGCAAAACTTGGCATCAGGAGAACCTGGTGCTAACGTGTCTCGTAAAGGTCATTCTGCCACAACGATTGCGCGGGTGCGCTCCGCGGATTGATTTGAGTGAAATTATTCACGTTTTGTTTGAGAGCAAGCAAGCGTTGCCGAGCTGTCCAGATCGCTCATCACAGTTTGATCGCTGCAATGCTAGCTGCCCGCGTTATCCGCCCCTTCGGATTCAGCAGGCAAGTGTAGATGAGTCCATCAGCGTTGACTGCGGGCGAATGAGCTTCGTCCAACTGGGCGCTGCCACCCACACCACTGCGTGGCTCTCTGATGCAAACACCACTCATCACCCGCCGCCGCCGCTCCCATCCTCGTCTCCAGCCGCCCTGTTGTCAGGACAATGGCATCCGCATCATCTGACTGGCTGAAGGAGGACAAGCGGCGCATGCTGCACGTGGTCTACCGCGTAACAGACATGCAGGTGCCAGCATCATCGGCAATCCTTTAGTGTTGGGGTGGAAGGTGCCAATCATTGCAGGATGGGTCTGAGGCGTAGAGTTGGTGCATGCAACGGGCATTGTAGAGCATGTATGACTCCAGTGAGCGACAGTGGTAGGCAGCCGCTCCCCACAGGCCGGAACAGCGGCAGCGACGGGTCGCGATACCACTCGCGACAGCGGCTGTGCGTCAGCGCACCCCCTTTAGAGGTGTCCATGGCCGCTCCACCGCTGGCGCCACTGTCACTGTGCTCCGCGGCTGCCCTTCAGATCCACCGTCGCCCCTGTGGCCCTGCTTCTCCGCACCATCTGCCCCTCCACGCGCCCCAGCCCTCACGTACCATACCAAATCGGATCCTTGCACCCCCTCCATCCACTGCACCAGTCCCACATCGACTGGTACACGAAGCTGCTGGGCATGAAGCTGCTGCGCTTCCGCGACATCCCCGAGGGCAAGTACAGCAACGCCTTCCTGGGGTACAACACGGAGGACAAGGGCTTCGCCCTGGAGGTGGGCGCCTCCGGTTTTGAGGGTGGTGTAGGGGTATCCACAGTCGGCAGGAGGGGTGGTGCGACTTTACAAGCTCACAGGCCAGCAGGGGCGCCCCTTTCTGCCCCCCCAAGGCCGACTAGGTCGAGTGGTTTGAGTGAAGGGCTAGCGATGTTAAAGGGGCTCGCTTGCTTGTTGGAATTCGGTTGTGGCTGTCTGTGAGACCGCCAGATGTTCTCTGCATCAGAGGCGCAGGACCGCCTAAACACATGGAGCGCGGTGGGGCAGGATCCCACCTGTACAGTTTGGGTTACATGCAAAACGATCCGCACTTGCCTCGGTTGGATCCCAGCTGACAACGCCCCTGACTAGTCAATCACCGCTCCCCGCCTTCCCTCTGTCGTCTCGCGTGCGGCTGCCAGCTGACCTACAACTACGGTGTTGACTCGTACGACATTGGAGAGGTGAGGCGGTGACGTCACTGCCCGTCAGCGTGCCATTAGGGATAAGATTAAGGCTGCAAGTGCAAATCCAGTGGGTCGGGCGTACCTGAGGGGCACCATCTGGACTAGCACACCATGGCAGCGGCCTGGCCTTGGTGCGAGGGTGTTGAAATCACTGGTTGTCTGCTTGCCCCGTGTGCGTCGGTCGCACGATGTGACACACCGCAAACATGCCGCTGCACCTGCGTCGTCTGCGCGACCTGGGTGCGCGACCTGGGTGACAGGCCGCCGTCGCCATGGCCTCGACTGCATCCCAACGCCCCTCCTGTTGCGACACCACTTGCGCAGGGCTTTGGGCACTTTGGCGTGGCCACCCCCGATGTGTACAAGCTTGCAGAGACCATCCGCGCTGGTGGCGGCAAGGTGCGGCTGATGACATGAGCAGGGATGGGCCACCAGCACGGCCAGCGCCAGCCCCGGGGGGGGGGGGGTAGGGGGGGGTTCGGGGATGGCCCTCATGCGGCCTGGGCAGCCGCCTGCCGGTGTGCTGCAAGGACTTTCCGCTCCCATTGTTGCCAATGCCGCTTGCCTGCCTGTCCGTGTGGGTCCCGCTCTCCTGTTGTAAGGCATGCTTACTCTGCACGCATTCGCAGCGCCTCATCCGGCCACGACCGCCCGCCCTTTGACCCCAGATCACGCGCGAGCCGGGGCCTGTCAAGGGCGGCAACACGGTCATCGCCTTCGCGGAGGACCCCACCGGCTACAAGTGGGAACTTATTGAGCGCAAGCAGACGGCCGAGCCCCTCTGCCAGGTGGGACGCTGGCAGTCTCCTTTCCTACCTCCCCCTGCCGTGAGGGCTGAAGGAGCAACACCAGACAGAAGCAGTGGCCGCCCGCCCTCCATCAGACGCACAACACAGTGTTGACAATGAGCACATGCTGCCATCATCTGATTTTTAGCCGCACATCGCCTCTTGAAACCAGGTCATGCTGCGCGTCGGCGACCTGGAGAAGTCCACCGCCTGGTACCGTGACGTCATGGGCATGCAGGTGATGACGTCATGGGCGCGGCGCCGCTGGGCTGAGTGGCGTGCCCCGCACGCACGGCCGCCTGTTTGGCAGCTGCATGGACAGATGGACCCAGCATGCACAGCATGGGATGGCAAGGCTTGCTGGCCAACCTTGGCGCACCCCTCTCTGTCGCTGTGCGCCCGTCCCCCAACCAACTTGCTTGTGCGTCATCTTCAAGTAGTTCTCTGCCATCGCACGCGCCAGCGTGCGCACACGCACACGCACACACGCACTCTCACACACGTACAAACACACACGCACACACACACACACACCTGCATGCGCGGCACACACACACACATACGGACACACTATACACCTGCATGCACGCACACACCTCAATCGTGCACGCACGCACATTGCCCGCAGGTCCTGCGCCAGCGTGACAACCCTGAGTACAAGTACACCCTGGGCTTCGTGGGCTACGGGCCTGAGGAGGTGCGGGAAAGCCTGTTCACAAAGGCTCATGCACGCAGCCGGCAGCAGCTGATCCACACTGCGGCCTGGCGCAGGCGGTGACGTGATTGCCTGGGTACTATGCGGGTGTTGAGCCCCTGTCCTGTCCAGGGGTTCGGACCCGCAGAGGGCTGTCCCCAATAGGGTGCGCTCGGGGGGCCAGAGGCCCGTGCCCGGCGGGCCCGTTGCCGTCCACAGCCATGTGCCACCTTGTGTGTGTCTCAAACGGACGGCCACGGTCTCCCGTGTGGCGAGGCACTGCCGAATTGAACCTTCTGCCCGCACCCCCGGCCGCCTGGGATGGCTGGCAGGACAATCTTGTCATTGAGCTCACATACAACTACGGCAAGACCGAGTACACCAAGGGCAACGCTTACGCGCAGGTGGGGCTGGGTTGAAAGGGACTGATGAGCCTAGAGCAGGGGGTTGAGTGGGAAATGGCGGCGGGCGGAAACAGGGGGCGGGGGCGTAGATGGGGGATCGCGTGGCGGCGGCTGACGTCCTGGGCGCAGCACTGCGCATGGTGACGATCAGCCGCGCATATGTGTTTGGCTAGGGGGCGCTGCAGCGGCGGATACGTGCATTTTTGCGTGTTGATAATGGTTGGTCCGCTGCCCTGGCGACTTCACACGCGCGCGGCCCTGCCTTGTGACCCTCAGATCGCCATCAGCACCGACGACGTGTACAAGACAGCCGAGCAGATCAGGGCTGCGGGCGGCTCGGTGCGTGGGCCGCTGGGGAGGACGCCTGACCAATGGCGTGCGTCGATTTATTCGACCAACGTGGGCGATGCATTCATGAATGCTGCTGGCATGCATGCGTGGTTATTGCAGTCACCTGCTCTTGCATACACGTGCACAGCAGCTAGCCTGCTGATGCGTGTACGCTCCCGCACACACGTGCGCTTCTGCTTGAGACACGCACATCTGCGCACACGCGTGCACACACACGCACACACGCACACACGCGCACACACACGCACACACGCGCACACACACGCACACACACCAAAATTACACGTGCGCACTCAAACGCGCCCAGATCACGCGCGAGCCCGGCCCTGTGCCTGGCATCGGGACCAAGATCGTGGCCTGCACGGACCCTGACGGCTACAAGTATGTCTTCGTGGACAGCCAGGACTTTGACAAGGAGCTGGAGGTTTTGAAGTAGGCAGGAGGTTGGGCAGTTTTGAGTTGTGCTCGACACCTTGGTTTTGGCACGTGCGAGGGCCAGGGATGGCGTTGGCGCGAGGGGGTGGCACCCAGCCAGCGCGGGCTGTGGCCCCGCCAGTAGCGCTTTCAACGCGCACCGGAGGGGCAGCAGTGTAATGGAATTTGATGCTGCAGTTTGATGCCGCAAGGGCGCGCCGTCTGTGAGCACCAGCTGGTCTCCCCACACAGCCTGGGCAAGCAAGCGGGCAGCTCAAAAACACCTGTCCCTGCAGCGGTAGCTCAGCAAGCAGCAAGCAGTGAAGGAAGGCACGTGGATGACAGACAGTGCAGCATGTGCACAAGGCGTCGCTTGAGGAGGCAGCGTGGGAATCGACACAGGTCGGCATTGTGCAGAGTCACCAGAGCGGCACCGTATGCAGCCCGCCGCGTGTACGCAAAGCCCAGACTGACACATACGGGACATAATGCCTATGTAGTCCGTACATCTTTGAACATTACACGCATTGCAAACACTGTAACGTCGGCATCAAGAAGCCCGCATGTGATCTGAACATGTCGTTTACATACTTCTGAAACGGAGGACAACGACCAATAAAGCCACGCAATCAGATTTGCTATGGTGTCGGTGCGGTCTCATAAAGCTGCCATGCAGCGGCAGGCGTGCAGCGCTGCGCGTTCTCGCAGGCAGAATGAGCGCCTGCTCGCGCTGCCTGCGCTCGCGACACTGCTGCTGCTGGCCTTATCTGTGCTGCAGCTTGCAGCAGCCGATGTAGTTATGGTGTATGTCGTGACGCGCCACGGCGCACGAAACGTGCTGCCCAAAGATGCAGAGCTGCAGGAGAACGATTCGACAGGCGGCCCCAGCCTGCTGCCGCAAGGCATCACCGCCAGCCGGGCCGCAGGTGGGTGCCGCGCCCCTCCAAGGGCCCACGGCGCAGCGCCGCAGTGCAGAGCGCAGTTGCTTCAGACCTCGGTCCCTACCGTGGCGGTCGCCTGCTCGCAACACTGCCCTGCCGCCACCAGCTCCGTTGGGCTGCCGGATGGTCAATCATGAACCTCGCATCGTACTCTCCTTCCCCGGAGACACACACACACACACACATACACACACACACACACACACACGTGCGCGTACACCATCGGGCGCAGGCGAGGCCTTCCGCGTGCGCTACCTGGCGCACCCCGCTTGCAACCGCTCCCTCACCTGCCTAGCCTCCGAGGGGCGAGAGGGCTACGGCATTGTCAACGCAAAGGGCGTCGGGTTCAGCAATTTCAACACGCTCGCGCGGTCGAGCGCACTGGACCGCACCCTGAGGTCGGCCACCGCGTTCCTGAGCGGCGTGTTTCCCCTGCAAGCCGTGCCGCGGGCGCCGCTGGGCATGAGCCCCCAGGTGGACGTCGTCCTTGCGCAGGTGCGGGCGTGCATGCATGCATGCGTAGGTTTGACTCAGGGTGTGGTTTCGCATTACAACGGTGTGCCTGCGTTTGCGACAAGTGGGGTTGCTTGCAGGTGCTTGTGGGCGTGAGGTTGCAGTCAGCAAGGCAGGGAGGGCCACAACGGGGCGGCCAGGAGGTGGTTGCTCGCGACACACACGACACACACACACACACACACACACACACACATGCGTACGCGCGCATGCACGCACGCACATGCGTGCACCTCACAATTGCATGCAGACCCCGCCCATCTACACGGTCCCGGACGCGAACGACTGGCTCATCCGCGCCTACACCAAGTGCGAGGCCTACCAGCGCCGCCTGGCAGCCTGGTATAAGTCGCAGGAGTTTGCTGCTAAGGAGGAGGCCACCAGGGGTGTGCGCGAGGGCCTTGCTCAGCTGGAGCCACAGCTCAATGTGTCGCTGGTCAACTGGTGGAATGGTGGGTGGTCTGCATGTGTGCGTGCATGTGGGTGTTTGCGCGAGCTCATGTGTGTGTGTGTGTGTGTGTGTGTGTGTGTGTGTGTGTGTGTGCTCGCGTGCATGTGAGCGTGTATATGTTTGCTTGATTGGCACGAGTCGCCTGGTGGTTGTCCCTACCACGGCTTTGTCTTCTGCATGAATCGTTTGACCAGCAGATTACGGGTGACGTCTGACCCCCCATCCGCATCCCCACCTGTTGCCCCACCAAAGTGTACGATGCCTTCAACGTGTGGCGCAACTACGGCACGGGGGACATCATGCCGGCCATCTCCGACGCGCAGTTCAAGCAGGTGGGCGTGGCGATGCCAGCAAAGAAGCGCACGCGGCACGCGCACGCGCGAGGCACCTGTGCACGGCCGGGGTTTGCGAGCATGCCTTGCGCGTTCACTGCAGGTGGCAGGGCGCACGTCGTGCGGGCTGGCGCATTGGGGCGCCTGCTGCTGCAGTTGCTGCGAGCCCGTCGCCAAGCCGTGGCCCTGGCCCTTGGAAACGCCCGTGCTCCCTCACGTCCATATGCGCACGCACCTGCCAGGTGGCATCCATAGCGGACTGGCTGGAAACCGCCAAGATGCGGTCCAACCTGACAGGCAACAGCCTGGGAGGCCCCCTTCTGGGGGACCTCATTGGCCGGCTGCAGGCAGCTGCACAGCACCTGCTCAAAGGAGAGAAGGTGGGTGTGGGGGCAGGATTCGTGACGGCCTGCACGTGTGCGCTTTTGCGCGGGCATGTCGCGTGTGCAGCTCACCACTCAGCCGCAGCACCCCTATTCCATCAACGTTATGATGCGCCTCTGCTTGCCTTACGTCTAGCGCACCTCACCATCACAACCCGCGTCGATCCCCCTCGCCCTCAGACCCGCCTCGGCCGGCTTCTTCTGGTGTCGGCGCACTACAACACGCAGCTCGCCCTCCTGTCAGCCATGGCCCTCGACACCGCCCTCACGCCCGCACAGCTCCCGTGGCTGGCCACGCTGCCGGCCACGTCGTCCGCCCTCGCGTTCGAGCTCCACTTTGACCCCTCCAGCCGCCGCTTGGCCGTGAGGATGCTCTACCAGGACGGCCCCGGCCAGGGCTACATGCCCGTCCCGCTGCCGCAGTGCGCGTCGCCCGGCGGCGTGCGGCCCAACGGCGACGTGGACGCGGCGGAGGCGCTGGCGGGCCCTGGCGCGTGCGAACTGTCCGCGTTTGTGCGCGCGTACGGCGGCGCGGCGATCGACGACGCAGGCACTTGGTGCACGGTGTGTGAAAACGCCCAAATGGAGGCCTGCGTCGCTGCCAGGGCCAGGGGCCGCGGCGGCGTCTTTGCCGCGAGTGGTTTTGCAAACGACAACGGCAGCGGTGGCGTCAGCAGCGACAGCGGCGGCGGCAACGGCGGCGGAGGCAGTGGTGAGAAGGTCAAGGTGGCGATGGCTGTGGTGACAAGTGCGCTGGGCGCCGGTGCTCTCGCGGCGGGCGCAGTCTTGTGGCATGTGCGCCGCCGGGAGGCAAAGTGGGAGCGCGAGGCTGCAGAGAAAGCACGTGCAGTCCAACTGCACGGCAGCTCGGTGCCGCTGTGAGAGGCAGCAGGAAGTTTTTATCCGGCGTGGCCGCGATCCACCGCGTACACTGGGCCGGTCGCACGTGCCGATGCGTCGAATCGATACAGCAAACCAGAGCGTCGGGCGGCCGGGGGCCGGGCGGCCTGCTGCGTGTTTGCATGTTTGTCGCACGAATACGCTAAATGTCAAGGTTGTAGGTTACGTTTGGCCGGAAATTTCAAGCGCCTGGAACCCACCCAGTTCGCATCGCTGCGATGAAGGTGTGCCGGCGCCCCCAGCACGAGCGGGGCCATCACTGTGGTGCACACAATGCGTGCCTGCTTGGGCGCTATGTCTGTCCATCCACTCCCATTCAGCTGCCCGGGCGACGCAGCAAGAACTTGCCCTGCCTGTGAGCAATTCGACGGCGGAGTGTGGCGGCGAGACGGCGGTGTTGCCGCTTGAGAGCCCGCCCCTGGATGGGGCCGGTGCTTCTTCGGCGTCCCATTGGGCATCAAATTGCGTCCATGCCCCATGGAAAGGTCTGATTTGGCATACTTGTGCCCAATACAACAGTCGCACCACTTTTGACGCACAACGCCAGTTTCACAAACATCCAGACTGCGTTGGGATCAGCCATGCAATGCTGACGCAACCCCTGACCCCCATAATTGCGATCAACTCTCGTCCAAGCCGGTGCTGCTGGTGATTTCATGGCGCCGCTTGCTTTGCTTTCATGCGAGTTTCGTTTTTTCTGGCCTCCAGATGTAGGGCTGGGCGGGCAGCTGCCAAGGCGGTGCCGTGTGCAGTTGCAGCCTTCTGATGCGGAGCTGGCTGTCGGCAATGCGCCTGTGACGGAAGGGCGGCCCTCGCTCACAACATGCAATTCTCTCATGGGCAGCCACCCATTGCGAGTCCCCTTGCACATGAACCACGCATCATCTGCAGCATAAGAGGCTGGCCGGCACCGACTGGTCAAAGGTGGCTGTATACCATCTGCACCCATTGTAATGCAGCGGCTGGCGAGGCCGCGTTGAACCCATGCTGTGTCAAGGCAGGTGGGGATTACACCTCGACTGATGTCACTTGGATGACTGCAGTGGGTTTATATGATGGCAATCTTTCATTCGGAAGAAATCCATTGGCGCAAACTGCAAGAGGTGGCATCATACAAACCACAACACACCCTTCACGCACCCACGCTCGCGGTCACGTGCAGTAGCCAGCCAGTGACAATGGGGCGCACCGCCGGCAACATAATGCAGCGCCCAAGTGACAGTGAGATGAGCCTGCCTACCCTATCTGGGTGCAAAACAAGCAAGGCCTGCTAAGGAGTGCGCTTCCCACCATCAGGATAACATGATGTCAAAACTACCCTGCAGCCGCCTTTACTGCGACACGGAGCATATAAACCCTGTACAGCAAAGAAAACCGGACCGTAGGCTCACATCCTACTCTGTGCAGAGACCATAGAGGGATGTCAGTCACACAAGCTTTTCGCATCTGCAGGCAGGTCTTGATGGTGCTGCTCTACCTCGATTGCTTCAAATTAGGTCTCCCCCCAAGTCCAGCCCCAGCAGCGCCGCCAGGTCAGCGTCCGCCGCCGCCAGCTCGTCGCCCCTCTCGATTAACAGGGCTGCCACGCCGTCGGGCGTCAGCAGAGCCTCCGCGTGAGACACGTCCGCCGCTGCGGCCGGGACCCCGATTTGTGGGGCGGCATCAACACTATGATCTGTGGCTGCATCATTCGCATCATCATAGTCACCGTCCGGCCAGCCGCCGCCGTCGCTGTCGCTGCCACTGCCGTATCCGCCCCTGCCCCCAGCTGCGCGGCCCGTGGCCGCGAAGGCGGCGCCACCGCCGAGCGCGAGCTGCGCCCAGGCAGCCGACGCGCCGCCGCCGCGCCCGCGCGCCTGCGCGCCGTCCAGCTGCGCGTCCAGCTCAGAGCACCCCCACGCCATTAGCGACGGTGGCGCGCCCGGACCGTGGAACATGCCGCCGCCGCCGCCGCCGCCGAGCTCGCCGCCCTCGCCGCCGCCGCCGCCGCTCGCGGCCGCCGCCGCCTCCATCGCCGCAAACAGGACCCCGTCCTGCACGCGCCTGTCGTCCGACACCACAGCGACGCCCTCCACCGCGCCGCCGCGCCGCCGCCGCCACGCCGCGCGCTCGCGCGCGTCGGGCGCGGACGCGTCGGCGAGCTCCTCCAGTATCCAGGTGTCCGCCTCGCAGCCGCGGCTGAAGACGGCGCTCACGCCCGGCGCGACCCGGACCTCCTCGCCGCCCTCAAAATCATCAAACCCGTCGGGCCCCCCGAGCTCCTGCACCGCCATCGACCGCAGCCGCTCCGCGTTCGGCACGCTGTGCGGCGGGAAGCGCGACGCGACGCGCTCCATGGCGTCAGACACGGCGCGCTCCAGCACGCGGCCGGCGGCGCCGCCGGCCGCGCCGGCGAAGCCCATCGCGTCGTACACCACGAGCGCGGCGCGGCCGCCGCCGGAGGTAGCGACGAGGGCCCCCAGGTCTGAGTGCAGGCGGTCGCGCGCGGATGCCAGGCGGCCGGCCTTGGCGTCGGATGAGTAGCGGGCGCTGGCGTTGAGGAAGTTGTAGCCTGCATGGGGGGGATTTGGGGGCGAGGGGCACGTGTATACAGGGTCAGCGAGGCAGTGAGCTTGCCCGCCAATGGAGTGAGGGGTCGCGATTGTGGCAGTGGCTGAAAGGTTCACTCATGTGCGTAATACAGGGGTGGGTGCGCAGCAGCATGTTATACGCATTGGTCGAGCAGGCTGCTGGCTGCGGTGCAGAGAAGATGGGCGCGCCTCTCGCGGGCGGCGAGGCAGTCCGGGCCGAGCCAAGGCCTGCCGCGCCCCAATTGGTGTGCCCTCATCCTGCGCCCCCCACCATCAATGATGAGGAGCCTTCTGGGCCCCTGGGGCTGCTGGCCGCCGCTGCCGCCGCGGGCCGCGCCCGCCGCGGCACTGCCGCCGCTGACGTCGCCGGCGCCGCCGCGGTGTGCCTCTAGCATGTCCCCAGGGCTGTCCAGCCACAGGGTGAGGCCCTGGGAGGCTTCCTGCGAAGCTTCTTCCTGCGCCTGCCGCTCAGCTCTGTATTCGTCGGCGGTCTTCTTGCGCCGGCGAAAAGAGGAGCGCAGCAGCGGCCGGGACGACTTGCGCAGCGGTGGCGCGATGGTTGGCGGGGGCGGGGGCGCGCCACCGGGCGCAGCGCCACCGTCGCCCTGTGATGGCACCGCACCGGCGGAAGGGTGCACAGAACATGGACGCGCGCCTTTGTGCGAGAACTATCAATCCCTGCTAGTTCTGTTCCTGAGGTGGCGCTGCCGCTGTTGCCCATGGCGCATGCGGTCAAAAAACACAAGGACCGCGGCAGCGCCGCCGCACCTGCGAACCGCCACCACTAGCTAAGTGTTTCTTCCCCTTCTTCGCCGCGCAGCAAACCAGCTCGCCACATCGCGGTTGGCGTCTGATGCTGCTCCGCCACGCCTCCAGCCGGATCAGGCTGGGGCCACTCGTGGGCGGCAGCATTTTGGTTGTCGGGTAGAGGAGCTTCGTTCAACGACATAAGACATTGCGTTTAAAGAATAATACAGTCTGCGTCACGTACAATACACGGCAGACTGCGTGTTTACAGCGAGGTCACAAAATGGCGGGTCACTGGGTGACTTTCGGCATGATCTCGTCCGTATGCTTGCAGATCGCCTATTCACAGCATCCGCAGAAAAACCTTAGATTTGACATTCCATTTGTATCGCCGTTCGAGTGCCGCGGCGCCTTGTGAGCACTAGATCTCAATCCCGCCAGGTAAGAACGACGTAAAGCAGTTGGGCCTTCACTTCAGGCCGTATGATAGCTGTGCCTCTGTGGTGGCCCAAGAGCCGTGAGCTTGTGCGCTGCACGCCAAAGCGCCTGCTTCCCAAGGGCGGAGCGGCGTCTCATGCGTGCCCTGTCTGTGTTCCCCTACCATTGCATGCCAACCATCCCCTCATCACCCAGAATGCCGCCCCGCAAGAAGGCCAAGAAGTCGGAGTCGGAGAGCGAGGAGCCCTCAGAGTTTGAGCCCTCTGCGTCTGAGGGCTCGGCAGGCAGCACCGGTGGCGGCGCCTCCGACGCGTCCGACGACTCCGACTTTGGCGGCTCCAAGCGCAAGAAGCCCACCGCGGCCGCCGCTGCCAAGAAGAAGCCTGCCGCGGCCGCGACCGCAGCCGCGCCCAAGGCCGGCGCCAAGAAGAAGATCTCCGCCGTCGCGGCGCCGAAGCGCAAGGCGCCCGCGGCAAAGGCGGAGGCGGCCGCTGTCGATGGGTCTGAGGAAGGAGAGGGCGGCCACGAGGACGAGCAGCCCAAGAAGAAGCGGGCGCCCGCCAAGAAGAAGGATTTCCAGCCCAAGGCGGACGACCCCTGGAGCTACGAGGGGCGCAACCTGATCTGGAGGTGGGCTCTTGTGCGACCTGGCTAGGGGACGAGACGCGGCAATGCTTCGTTTTGTTTGTGGGTGTGGGGGGAGCGGGCGCACCTGAAAGGGGCTGGGCTATCCCGCGGCGCTTGCCCTCTTGCGCCGTCTCACCAACGCACAGCTGGCGGCATTGGCACGGACGGCGGCCACTCAGGCGCACGCTTCCGCGGTCAACCCGCGCCCCTCCCTACAACCAACCCACGTGCTGCGCTTGACACACCGCTCGCTGACACACCGCTCGCTCGTCACGAAGGGACTTTGGAGGAACACAGCCGGGCGAGAAGATCGCAGCTTTTGACCTGGTGAGGGCGATGGGGAGCACCAAGCAGTCGCACCCCTTCCCTCAACCTCCCCCCTACCCCTACAAGGAGCTCTGCGCGCTGCCTTGCGTGCGCCTGCAGGATCTCATCGCCTCCCAACAGCCACCTGCCAATCGCGGCCCTTGCCCCAGGACGGCACCCTCATCAACACGGCATCGGGTCGGCAGTTTGCCGCCAACAGCACCGACTGGAAGTTCTACAACAAGCACGTGGTCAAGAAGGTCAAGGAGTACGCAGATGACGGCTACAAGATCGTGATTTTCAGGTGCGTGATCTGGATATATGATGTGGCAAGCCCATGGACCGACCACAGCTACGTTTGGCTTGTCTGCTATTGATTGCATCACGGCCAACGGCTCGATTGTGTTTGTGACTCAGTCTGCAGGTGCCGGTGCTGTCTCCCGACGCACCAGCCTCGCAGGTCGGCCACCCTGCCCCATCCCGCGCTCTGCGCTGCGCGTGGTTCCCAGCACATGCCTTCTACCACTGCCTTGGCCTCCTGCCCCATCCCCTCGACTCCCGCAGCAACCAGGGCCAGATCAAGTCTGCCGTTGACCTCAAGGCAGCAGACAACGTCAAGAAGAGGGTCGAGGCCGTGGTGGAGCAGGTGGGGTGGGGGCGGTTGCGGTGGTTTGCTCTGCATGGGTGTGGGCGGCCTGGCCCTCAGGCACCAGCTGGCAAGATGGGTTTGCAGGCACGAAACATCCCTGACCCGGTAAAAAGGCGTGCTTGCAATCCGCGACGGATGAGCCGCACGCGACCCCGAGCTCGCCCCGCTTGAAACTGGCACCGGTGCTGCTTCTTCCCTTGCCGAGACGGCTGGCCCCTTCGCGCGTGCCTGCCCGCGCCCGCAGCTGGACGTGCCTGTGCAGGTGTTCCTGGCCCCCCAGAACGACCAGTACCGCAAGCCCGAGACCGGCATGTGGCGCTACATGGTTGAGAACTGCAACGGCGGCGTCACCCCCAGTGAGCGGGCGTGCATGAGACGTGCAGCAGGGCTGCTTTGTTAGCGGACTCAGGGCTTGCTTTTCCTGTGGCAGCAGGAAGCAGGGGTGCTAGTTTTGCGCCGCGGCGCCGGCGGCAGTGAAGCGTGTGTGTCAACCAGGGCGCCCGCCTGCATGCTCTCCCTCAAAACACGCATGCCAGGCCTTTCCGAGTCCTTTTTTGTGGGCGACGCGGCGGGGCGGCCGGCGGACGCTGCGACGGGCAGCATAAAGGACTTCAGCGACAGCGACAAGTGGGTGGCCTCAGTGGGTGATATCAGAATCAGGGGTTTGGAGGGCGCCTGCGGAGAGCACATAGCTTGTGACCCTATCATATCCTCTCGTTTGCATACAAAGTGCTTTGCACTTCGAATCCAACCCACCAAACGCCTCGGCAATATTGACAAAACCTCTCAGGGCCTTTGCTCAGGCGGTCGGCATCAGCTTCAAGCTGCCGGATGACGAATTCGGGTGGGTGAATCGGAGGCACGCAGGCGCGAACCGGGAATCAAAGTGATCTATCTTGCCAAAGCGGCGACACCTGCAGGGCTCCCACCGCCAATGCATCAGCAGCTGACCCCCCGCAATGACCTCAGCCCCCTGCCGTGCCTTTCTCCTGCTCGCCCCTGCTCAATGGCGCGTTCCCGCACCTGCACGCCCCCGCTGATTTGCCCCCCTCCCACCACTGCGACGCGCCTGGGGTGACCCGCAGCGCCATGGAGGGCAAGCGGGCGCTGGACGCGGGCGCCAGGGCGGCGGCGCGCGAGACGCTGGCCGCGGGCGAGGGCCCCAACGCGCAGCTGCTCAGTGCCCTGAGCACGTACGCAGACGAGTGCTTCGACACCGCCAAGACCAGTGGCGAGTGAGTGGGTGGTGGTGGTCGGAGAGGGTACAGCGGTGGGGTTTGTGGCGGGTGTGGAGGTTGATGGTGGTCGCTTCATGGTGGCAATCATGGGGGGTGTTGGTTTTGGGGAGGGTGGTAATGGCGGTGTTTTTGAACCTCACTGGCCAGCCTGTCAGTGAGTCAACCCCCTGAGACGTGTGGTCTGCCTGATACACACAGGTTACATGTGACTTTCGCCCAAAATCTCAAACCCTCCCCCTCAACCTCAACACCCCCCAGTGACAAGTACAAGTGGAAGGCCACCGCCATGAAGAAGGCAGTCACCAGCCTGGCCACCTTCTCAGTGAGGCACCGGGCTCACCCCACCCCTTTGCTCTTCTTCCTCCCCTTGGGGGTCCTCAAGGACGCGCAGCCGCGCGCTGTCTCAGACCCTTGGTTTATGGCCGTATCCGCCACAATCCAACCGTCAAGCCACGCCTGTCCGTGCTGTCGGCCGGCTAGCTTTGCGCCAGTGCTACTGCTCCTGTGCCTGCCAACGCTGGCCGAGCCTGAGAGTAACAGCCGTCTGTCGACACGCGCAGTGAGTCTGCAGGTCGCCTGGAAAGGCGCGGCCTTCTATGTGCACCAAAACCGCGCGATGGCGCCCTGCACCCCTCCCCAGGACCCCATCACGCTGGACTCGCTCAAGGCGGTGCTCAAGCTGCCAGGCGTGGGCAAGGGGACGGTAGACAAGGTGAATGGCACGCGTGTGCGCGGTGTGTTGGCGCATGGGGCCTGGGGCTCGTGGTGATGCCTCGTGGAGTGCAGACTGGTGGTGGCGGAGATTGAGGGGCGCTGAAGCCAGGAAAGGGGTCAGGTGCAAAGCAGGAGGGCTGACGCGAAGCCACCGCGGCCGCCCGTGCACCCGCGCCGCGCAGCCGCAGCCGCTGCTGCTGCTGTCGCCCCGCGACAGGTGGCGGCCGGCTGCGGCGGCTGCAGCGGCGCGGCCGCGGCCGCGGCCGCGGCCTGGCGGCGCCGCGGACGGCTGGGGGGTTGGAGGCGAAGGAAGCGGCGGCAGCATTTCAATGGTTCCATGCAGCCGCGGCATCGGCGGCTGCAAACACATATCTACCTGCAGCGGCAGCGGCTGTGGCAGTAGCTCCTGGCAGCAGCATCCGGTGTTGCAGCCTGTACATGCCCCGCCGCTGCTCAGTGCGCGGCTGCCGGTCCTGGTGCCGCGGCCAAAGCTGCTGGCCGCTGTTGTGCGCGCGCTGCGGGTCCTATGACAGCCGCGCCATCCCAACTTGGGGAGGGGCGCTTGGGGGAGCCCCGAATCACGCACGGCGGTGGTCTGGAGTTTCGCAAGGCAAGGATGCACACCACTGGCTCATCGTTACAATGCTGGAGTTGCCTGGCTCGCCCAGGCTCTAGCCACCTGCTGCATGATGTGTCCCCCCCCCTGGGCCTCAACCCCGTTTTTCTGTTGGAGCTGCCGCTCTCAAACCGCAGGCAGCGCCCCCATTTTCACAACCACACTAGTGCAGCGGACCATCCCCTTTGCCCAGCCACCCCCTCCACATGCCCCCCCTCCGCCACACAAACACAACCCTGCAGATCAAGGAGTACCTCACAACCGGCAAGGTGGAGCTGGGTGCCGCCGACCCCGAGGCAGCTGCCAAGCGGGAGGCGATCGCCAAGGAGGGCAACAAGCGGCAGGAGGCGGCGATAGCCTTCCTGTGACGCGGCGCGGCTGGTGGCGGTGCATCAAGGGGCGGTTTGCTGTGCTGCTGGTTCAGGTTTTGGGGCTGCACAGGTTCAGTGTGTACATTTGCGTTTGTGCGATGTGTGTTCGACGAAACCGTTTCCGCTATTTCGGCCTGCCCATTTTCCCACGAGCGGTGATCAGGGACGATGAGCAGCGGCGCTGCGCAGTGTAAAGGCACAACCGCGCAACGAGTCCATGCCTGGCGCTGGAGCAACAGAATGCAAGCGCATTGGCTGTTGTGTGTGTGTGGGGGGGGGGTGTTGCGTGGGTGCGGACTGAGTCGCGAAGGACGCAACGGCGTGTGCGCAGGGTGTGGGGGCGCAGAGGCTCCTTGCTGATTGGCGCCTTAGTTTGACCAGTCAACCGTATGCCAAGTCTGCCCTCGCGCAAGGTCGCGTCCGCAAGCACATGCGAGTTGCTAAATCCATGCTTTAACACAGGCATGCCACGCCACCTGCTGGCGGCGACACCCACAAACACTCTGCCACCTGCAGCGCTTCACCGCCAACCGTCCCCTCGCTCGCAAACGATCAACACCAACGCACATCATTCAGTTGTGTGTGTAACATCGACGGCTTTCAAGCCCACTCTATGCTGCAGAGGGGCGTCATGGCTTTCTGCGGCAGCCAATCCGCGATCTGGGCCAGGCATGGCGTCCGCGGCCTGCGGCCTTTCTGCCCCGCCAGCAGCCGCGTGTCGATCCGCAGCAATGCAGTTGCCGAGGTGGCCACTACGGCGCTGCCATCCGTGGCGCCGGCCTTCAAAGCCAACCTGGACTTCAAGTTTGTCAGGGACAACCTGCAGCTGATTGCCGACAACTGCAAGCTCCGTAACAGCCCTGGGGATCCTGCGCGCGTGGCGCAGCTGTACGACGAATTCACGCGGCTCAAGCAGGAGAGCGACTCGCTGCGAGCCAGTCGGAACGAGAACAGCGCGGCTATGAAGGTGTGGGGAACGGCTGATAATATATTCTAGCCAATGTGCTTTGTGGGTGCACCCCCAGCGGCTGCAGCGATCGCCGCTGCTTGGCGCGCTGTGCTGCAACGGCACTGCTGTGCCGCACCGCCACTGCCGGCATGCCTCGATCCATGGCTGCCACATGGGTCGGGGCTGCGCCCTGCCATCGAGCTGCTGTGTCTAGCTGCCGACATAATGCATGTGTAGTATGGGCGACTCGCAAGTGTTGTTCACCAACTGCTTGCACCCACCTGCCGCGCTCAACCCGACACTCGGCAGGGCAAGCTGGAGCCCGACGCGCGGCAGCAGCTCATCTCCAAGGGCCAGGCCCTCAAGCAGCAGCTGGAAGACGTGGAGGCCCGCCTCACCTCCCTCGAAAACGCCCTGCAGGTCGAGGGCCAGCGGCTGCCCAACCTGACGCACCCCGACGTGCCGGCCGGCGGCGAGGACAACGCGACGCTGCTGCGCACGGTCGGCGTGCCGCGGGATTTCGGGTTTGCGCCGAAGGACCACGTGACACTGGGTGAGGCGCTCGGCCTGCTGGATTTCGAGGCCGCGGCGGAGGTGTCGGGGTCAAAGTTCTATTACCTGAAGAACGCGGCGGCGCTGCTCGAGCTCGCGCTGGTCAACTACGCGATGACCAAGGTTTGACCGCGGGGTTGGAACGGAGGCCTGACGGCAGGGCCGGAGTGCGCGCGACTGTGCGGCAGCTAGCTCGCTGTGCTGCAATCCGAGCAGATGTTGGCATAGGCTGTGTCGGCAGCTGGCGGCTGCGGGGCCCCTCGGGCACCTGCTTTCTTGCGGCTGCATGCACACCGACTCCAGCACTAACCACCCCCATTCCGCCCTGCAGTTGCTGCCCCCTCACCAAAGCACACACCACGCATCTGCTACCCCGGCTCAAAAATACTTAAACTCCCAGGTCACGAGGGTGGGGTTCACGCCCATGATGACGCCAGACCTGGTGAAGGCCTCGGTATTGGAAAAGTGCGGCTTCCAGCCCCGCGCTGACAACACACAGGTGGGTGGGGGCTGGTGCGTTTGGGGGGCGGGCGCATGAATGCCAGCCCGGCTGTGTTCGTGGCGGTGGCGCAAGGGGCGGGTGGAGCGCGCTGGGGCCAAGGGCGCAAAGCCGCACGGCTGCGCGCCGCAGGCGGGCGGGGGTGGAGCTGCTTTCAGAGAGAGTACCAGGCAGGTGTCCTGCAGGGCTGGGCGCGACAGCCCTGGGAGCGGGTGACGGCCGCAGAATGCGAAGTAAGGCCCGCCGCCCTGCGCGCTGTGTGCCCCAGGTGTACAGCATCGTGGACAGCCCGCTGTGCCTAACGGGCACCGCGGAGGTGCCCCTCGGCGGCGTGTATATGGACCAGGTGGGGGGGGGGGGCAGGGCGGATTGGATGCGACGTGGGGGGAGCGAGGGCGCGGCGGATCCACTGTGGGGTGCCGGGGCGCCGCGACTGCCAGGCTGGTGGCCGGCCGCAGGACGTGGGTGCCCTTGTTACAGAGGGCGTCTGGTTGAGGTCGCGACTGGGAGTGCAGCAGCACGGCCGGCAATCTCCCAGTCCCGAATCGGGGC